TTGTTATAGTAGAAGTATTTTAGTCTGTGTGCTATGGTTTGGATACTGTTTGTTTGCCAAGTCTCATGTTGGAATTTGATCACTAATGTTGAAGGTGGAGCCTGGTGGGAGGTGTTTGGGTTGTTAAGGCAGATCTCTTTTATTTATTTATTTATTTATTTATTTTGAGACGGAGTCTTGCTCTGTCGCCCAGGCTGGAGTACAGTGGCCGGATCTCAGCTCACTGCAAGCTCCGCCTCCCGAGTCTACGCCATTCTCCTGCCTCAGCCTCCCGAGTAGCTGGGACTACAGGCGCCCGCTCGCCCGGCTAGTTTTTTGTATTTTTTTGGTAGAGACGGGTTTCACCGTGTTAGCCGGGCTGGTCCGATCTCCTGACCTCGTGATCGCGCCGTTCGCGCCTCCAAAGTGCTGGGATTACAGGCTTGAGCCACGCCGCCCGGCCGGCAGATCTCCATAATGGTGTGGTGCCCTTCTAGAAAGAGTAACTAAGTTCTCACTCTTAGTTCCCACAAGAACTCGTTGTTGTAAAGAGCCTTGTACTTACCTCTCCTCTCTCTCTTGCCTTCTCTTTCACCATGTGATCTACACATATTGGCTCCTCTTTGCTGTCTGCCATGAGTAGAAGCTTCCTGAGGCCCTCATCCAAAGCAGATGTTAGTGCCAGACTTCTAGTACAGTCTGCAGATCTGTGAGCCAAATAAACCTCTTTTCTTTATAAATTACTCAGCCTCAAGTATTCCCTTACAGCAACACAAATGGACTAAGATACCATGTGTAATGTCCTAATCCTTATAATATTATTCTACTACCCAGGCAGATAGTGCTCTCCAAATGTCTTCTTAAAAAAGGATGGTTTCTGAAATGACACCCTCTTGGGACTATTTGGATGATTGAACAGCTGTTTTCATTAGAAATCTTTTTTTTTTTTTTTTTGGGACAGGGTCTTGCACTGTCACCTAGACTGGAGTACAGTGATGCAATCTTGGCTCACTGCAACCTCTGCCTCCCAGGTTAAAGTGATTCTCCTGCCTCGGCCTCCTGGGTACCTGGGACTACAGGTGTGCAACACCACACCCAGCTAATTTTTGTGTTTTTAGTAGAGACGGGTTTCATTATTTATTTATGTTTTTGAGATGAAGTCTCGCTCTGGTGCCCAAGCTGGAGTGCAGTGGTGTGATCTCGGCTCACTGCAACCTCTGCCTCCCAGGTTCAAGTGATTCTCCTGCCTCAGCCTCCCGAGTAATTGTGACTACAGGTGCATGCCACGATGCCCAGCTAATTTTTTTTTTTTTTTGTATTTTTAGTAGAGATGGGTTTCACCACATTAGCCAGGCTGGTCTCAAACTCCTGACCTCAGGAGGTCCACCCACTTTGGCCTTCCAAAGTGCTGGGATGATAGTCTTGAGCCACTGTGCCCAGCCTTAGAAATATATTTTGACTATACATATATTTTGTTTTTATTTAGTTTTATTTTTTTGAGATGGAGTCTTGCTCTGTTGCCCAGGCTGGAGTGCAGTGGTGTGATCTCGGCTCACTGCAATCTCCGCCTCCTGGGTTCAAGTGACTCTCCTGCCTCAGCCTCCCAAGTAGCTGGGATTATGGGCATATGCTACCACACCCAGCTAATTTTTGTATTTTTGTTTTTATTTTTGAGGTGGAGTCTCGCACTGTCGCCCAGGCTGGAGTGCTATGGCATTATCTTGACTCACTGCAACCTCCATCTCCTGGGTTCAAGCAATTCTGCCTCAGCCTCCCAAGTAGCTGGGATTACAGGTGCCCCTCACCACACCTGGCTAATTTTTGTAGTTTTAGTAGAGATGGGGTTTCACCATGTTGGCCAGGCTGGTCTCAAACTCCTGACCTCAGGTGATCCACTCACTTTGCCTCCCAAAGTGCTGGGATGACAGGCGTGAGCCCCTGTGCCTGGCCTAATTTTGGTACTTTTTGTAGAGACGGGGTTTCACCATGTTGGCCAGGCTGGTCTCAACCTCCTGACCTCAGGTGATCTACCTGCTGACTATACATATATTTTAAAAGGGGACATTTCTTTTTAATTTTAGAACGGACATTTGAAAATTGTTTGAATTCTTTTAGTCCACTGATATCTTTCAGTCTATTGACACAAGTTATATCTGGTTGAAAGAGAAAAGGCAGAGTGAAAAAAAGCCATTCTAGATCAATTGGTAGATACCAACAGATTCACTCCTATGTAAATATGAAAGGACGAGGAACCATGAATATTTTCATGATAAAGGTGAGAATAAGTTTTGATTGATTTTTGAAGAAAAATGATTTTTGTTATCTTGTGTAACTCTAGGAGGTAATCAAGAAATGTTAAGTTGTTTGTTGGTTCTCTCCCAAAGGGAGGATAGAAGGAAGCCATGGTTCCTTTATACCATGGTTGACTGGGAGCTTTTATGCCTTTCTGATATATGGAGAGAAAATGCAAGTGGGGCCTGAAGGTCTCTGTGGTACTGAAAAGAAAGGTACAGGGGTAATAGGGCTGTGAGAAAGCTGAAAGCTGAAAGCTGAGATCATGTTAAGAATAAGATAGCGGAGTTTCAGATTTCTGTTATGGAGCAATTCCTGCTGATGACAAAATCCAGGGTTGTTTTTGGATCTAGGTGTAGGTGGTTGAAGTAGGGTAGAAAGGCAGTCATATGCTGGTAAACCGGCTCTTGAGAAAAAGCACCCAATTTGAGCATTTGTTGACTTTTGATACCAACATGTCATTGAGCATAGAATTAGAGATATGAATAATCAGCTCCTGGGAGCTAGAATGATCTGGCTTTAACAATCACTGAGTGTAGGTATAGGGCATTAGAATTAAGTAGACACATGAATCACAAAGCTGTATTGTTGGATCGACCCCTGAAATCTTGAATTATGGTATGAGTTGGTATAAAGAGTGTGAGTCCTCAAATCTTCATTGAGTGAAGGAGGGTTGAGGAGTAGTCAGTAGAAAAGAATAAAAAAGAAGAGAAGATTTTATAGAAGCCTGTTAGGGGTAAAATATTGCTGGGGAAGTAGTGGAAGTGTTCTTCAAATACCTTCGACTATAACCACTCTTTTTTTTTTTTTTTTTGAGACAGAGTCTGGTCTGTAGCCCAGGCTGGAGTGCAGTGGCGCGATCTCGACCTCCGCTCACTGCAAGCTCCGCCTCCCGGGTTCACGCCATTCTCCTGCCTCAGCCTCCTGAGTAGCTGGGACTACAGGCGCTTGCTACCCCACCCGGCTAATTTTTTTTGTATTTTTAGTAGAGACAGGGTTTCACCGTGGTCTCAATCTCCTGACCTCGTGATACGCACGCCTCGGCCTCCCAAAGTGCTGGGGTTACAAGTGTGAGCCACCGCGCCTGGCCCTATAACCACTTTTTAATGTAATCTGTATGTAAAGCAAGGGTCTACATGATCCAGTTTATGTGTGGGCTCCATTTATAAAAGAATATTTAAATAGTCAAAACAAGTTGAAAGTACAGTTAATCCTTTAATAATTTGGGGTTAGGGGATATTGCCCTCATGCAAAAAAAAAAAATAATAATGCATATAATTGTTGACTCCTCCCAAACTTCACTACTAATAACCTATTGTTGCCTGGAAGACTTACCAGTAATATAAACACTTGACTAACACATATTTTATATGTTGTATGTATTATACACTGTATGCTTACAATAAAGCTAGAGAAAAGAAAATGTTATTAAGAAAATCATAAGGAAGAAAAAATATATTTACTAATCATTAAGTGGAAGTGGATCATCATAGGTCTTCATTCTCATCATCTTCACGTTGAGTAGTCTGAGGAGGAGGAAGAAAGGAGGGGTTGGTCTTGCTGTCTCCAGGGTAGCAGAAGTAGAAGAAAATCCACGTTATCAGTGGACTCATGCAATTCAAATCGGTCTTCAAGGGTCAACTGTAATTCCAATCTTATTTGCCTTAATTCATTTTCTTAATTTAATAAAAGGCTGAATATTCATAATTTACAATAACACCTTCATTTTCTTCACTTTTCTCACTATATCTCTCACATCACATCCTAAACCTTTTTCTCCTGTGCCTTACTCTCCATTCTCTTAAAAAAACTCTCCCAGATCCAATCTATGCTGCTCATAATTTCTCTTCCCCTCCTTTTTTCTACATTCTTTCTGATGCAAATTCATGAAATGAATAATTTTCTCTCCTCTTATTTCCTACTTTTACTTAACGAAAGTCCAGAAACTAAACTTGCCTACTCAGATCCTAGAGCTGCATAAAAGTACAGGAGATTTTGGATGATGTGTGGGTTGGAAATGAAGGTATTACATTCTTTTGTTAAGTAATTGAGGATTTCACATGTGGTTAAAATGATGTCAGAGCTAGGCAAGGAAACAGGATTCTCCTACATTCCTGATAAGAGATTAAATTGGTACAGCTCATTTGGAAATTCATTTGGCAATATCTCCTATAACCAAAATATATCCCTAAAACCAAAGTATATCCTACCCTGTGACTCAGCAATTCCACTCCATCAACAATTGAATGTAATGAATATGGCTATCAGGTTTCAATAGGCTAGTGACATCTGCTACATTGTTATCTCTATTACCGGAGTCTATATATATATATATTAGTACTATATAGATACTAAATATATTTTTTTTTTTTTTTGTGAGACAGATCTCGCTTAGTCGCTCCAGGCTGAGTGCAGTGGCGCGATCTCGGCTCTGCCAGCTCCGCTCCCGGGTTCACGCCATTCTCTCCTGCCTCAGCTCCCGAGTAGCTGGGACTACAGGCGCCCGCCGCCGTCGCCCGGCTAATTTTTGCATTTTTAGGTAGAGACGGGGTTTCCCGGTTTAGCCAGGATGGTCTCGATCTCCTGACCTCGTGATCCTCCCGTCTCGGCCTCCCAAAGTGCTGGGATTACAGGCGTGAGCCACCGCGCCCGGCCCGGAGTCTATAATTTTTTAACCTCTGATCTCTTAAAACTTATTTTACAACTTTATTACTCTTTACAAACTAAACTGTCATACTATTGTGTATCAGATCCACTTATTTTTAAATTAATTTTTAAATGTCAAGTCTTAATAGTCTTCCTTTAGCCTCTATTTACTAATTTATTGTCACCACAATGTCACTCTAAACGTGACTGTTAACTATCAGGAAGTATTTCCTTCTTTTTCTATAGAGAACAGAAGATCTTCAGCAGGAAATTCAGATGCTCACTCAGCAAATGGAATAACTGTATCAACTTTATGAAGAGGTGTTTGTGAATCATTCCAACTTGAAGAAAAGTATAGGGAACAACAAAAGATCCTTGAAATACCTGGAAGGAAAAATTGCTTTTAATGACATTTTAAAAGATTAGACTATGAAAAAAAGACTTTCCTGAATTATAGGTACTATTTTGGGCAATGAAATTGACTATTATTCTAATATTAATAACTTTAACTTTATTTGATGTAGAAAGCTGATAAAACTATTTATATTTCACTTAACATTGGAAAAGTGAGGGGAAAAAATCCTTAGAGTTAGGCTTCTAATTTTATCAAAAAGCATGCCCTTTCCCATATCTTCAGTTTTTTCACTATGTACATATTTGATAGATAAAACCATCAATATAATATGGAAAGTATAGTGTCTTTTATAATCTCTTCTTGTAAGTTATATAACATCACTTCTGCCATATTCTGTTAGTCAAACAGACCAACCGGGTACAATATTGTTGGAGACTGTGTAAGGGTACCGGGTAGTGCAGATTATTGGTGGTCATCTTAAAGTCTGGCTACCACACTCATTTCTTTTACTCACAAACTGAGTGATTTGCTTATTCATTCATTTATTCAATACTTATTGAACAACCACAGATTTTAAAAACAGACTGACTGGGCGCAGTGGCTCACGCCTGTAATCCCAACACTTTGGGAGGCTGAGGTGGGCTGATCACCTGAGATCAGGAGTTCAAGACCAGCCTGGCCAACATAGAGAAACCCCGTCTCTACTAAAAATACAAAAATTAGCCAGGTGTAGTGGCTCACATCTATAATCCCAGCTACTTGGGAGGTTGAGGCAGGAGAATTGCTTGAACCTGGGAAGTGTAGGTTGCAGTGAGCTGAGATCGCCCCACTGCACTCCAGCTTGGGCGACAGAGCAAGACTCTGTCTCAAAACAAATAAAATGGGACTTAATGAAGTGAGGTCAACAGTAGCCCATATAGAGTTTAAAGATAAATATATCATCTCTTCTAGACTCCACCTCTGCCTTTGAATATGTATATGGAAATAATACATTGAATGGTTAATCCATGCAAATAAAAATAATCCTTTATTAAGTTTTCTTAAGATTGTACAAAATAACGTGTGCTTGACCAGGCATGGTGGCTCACACCTGTAATCCCAACACTCTAGGAGGCCGAGGTGGGCAGATCACTCAAGGTCAGGAGTTTAAGACCAGCCTGGCCAACATGGTGAAGCTCTGTCTCTACTAAAAACACAAAAATTACCTGGGCATGGTGGCGCATGCCTGTGGTCCCAGCTACCTGGGAGGCTGAGGTGGGAGAATCATTTGAAGCTGGGAGGCGGAGGTTGCAGTAGGCCAAGATCACGCCACTGCACTCCAGCCTGGGCAACAGAGTGAGACCCTGTCTCATAAAACAAACAAAAACCAAAATAACATGTGCTTACCCCAACACTTAAAGCCATGCTAAACAGTTTAAAGAAAATAATAATCTTCTGTCTGCCCATCTCACCTCAGTAACCAATGTTAACCATTCCCATAGTTATGGAAATACGTAAACATATATAAGGGTAATGGTGTCTTCACAAAACTAAGATCATTCTAATAAAAATATTCTGCAACTTCCTCTGCTTAGTAGTGCCTCATGGTTGTATCTTAAGTTAAAAGATATAGCTCTTCCTTTAATAACTGTATAATATTCTATAGTATGCATGTATCTTAATTTATTCAACCATTTCCCTTTTGAGGGATGATATAATTATTTCCTTTTTTTGGTCACTACAAATAATGTGAAAATAAATATCTTTCAACTATATCCTTCCACACTGGTGCGTTTGTTGCTAGAGGATTAATTGACAAATATGAGCTGATAGGGTCACAGTGTGTATTTTAAATTCTAATAGCCATTGTCAGATTACTATTTGCAAAAGGATAGAAGCAGTTCATTTTAGAGTAAATCATTCTCCTTTACATCCAGCTAGCATTGAATGCTGTCGTTAGTTGGGTAAAAAAAGGAAAAAAAAAAAAAACCAAGCTACCTCATTATTACTGTAATTTACATTTTCTGGACTACTAGTGAAGGTAAGGATCTTTTATTTATTTATTTATTTTTTATTTATTTTATTTTTTCCTTTCTGTGGACATAGGGTCTTACTGTGTTACCCAGACTGGTCTCAAACCCCTAGATCAAGCTATCCTCTTTTCTCAGCCTCCCAAAGAGCTGAAATTACAGGTGTGAGTCACTGTACTCAGCCAGTAAGCGTCTCTCTTTTTTAAAAAAATAATTTCAGGCCAGGTGCGGTGGCACACGCCTGTAATCCCAGCATTTTGGGAGGCCGAGGTGGGTGGATCACCTGAAGTCAGGAGTTCGAGACCAGCCTGGCCAAGATTTCAAAACTCTTTGTCTCTACCAAAAATACAAAAATTAGCCGGGCGTGATGGTGGGCACCGGCAATCCAAGCTACTCGGGAGGCTGAGGCAGGAGAATGGCTTGAACCCAGGAGGTGGCGGTTACAGTGAGCCGAGATCACCCTATTGCACTCCAGCCTGGGTGACAAGAGTGAAACTCTTTCTCAAATAATAATAATAATAATTTTAACTTTTATTATAGATTAAGGGGTACATGTGCAGGTTTGTTACATGGGCGTAATGCATGACCCTGAGGTTTGGGATACGTCACCAGGTAATGAGCTTAGTACCCAATAGGTGATTTTCCATCCCGTGCCCCCTTTCTCCCATGTCTGGTAGTTCCTGGCGTCTATTGTCCCCCACTTTATGTTTATGTGTATTCAATGTTTAGCTCCCACTTATAAGTGAGAACATGTGATATTTGGCTTTCTGTTCTTGTGTTAATTTGCTTAAGATAATGGCTGCCAGCTCCATCCATGTTGCTGCAAAGGATGTGATCTCATTCTTTTTAATGGCTGGTAAGCACTTTTATATATGCCTGTTGACCACTTGGCTTTTCCTTTCTACAGATTGCCTCCTTCTTCCCATAATTTGGATCTTAGGTGCAGAAGATTATGCTAATCAAATTTCTTAAATAATGCCTTATCATTGGGGACATAATGGTCCATCTCTTATTTAATTTTATTGTTTTGGTTCCATTCCCCACTTGCATTCCTTATGCCCATAGATAGTCACTTAAATGTGTTTATGTCTATCAGTTTGTTTATGTGATTAAAAAATCATTATTGGGATATTTACATGCCATAAAATTCACTCATTTAAAGTTTACAATTCAATGATTTTTAGTAAGTTAATAAAGTTGTGCAAATGCCACCACAATCCAGGTTTAGAAAATTTCCATCACCCAAAAAAGTTTTTTTTTTTTTTTTTTTTTGCTTCTAGACAGTTAATGCCCTCTTCCATCACTAGTGCCAGGCAACCACCAATCTGCTTTCTGTGTATATGCATTTTCCTTTTTTGGACATTTCATAGAAATAAATAAATTTAATATGCAATCTTTTGCATCTAGTTTTTAAAATTAGCATTGTTTTTGAGGTCCATCCATGTTGTAGCGGTCATTAATACTGTGTTTTGTTTTGTTTTGTTTTGTTTTTTTGAGATGGAGTCTCGCTCTGTCGCCCAGGCTGGAGTGCAGTGGCCAGATCTCAGCTCACTGCAAGCTCCGCCTCCCGGGTTTACGCCATTCTCCTGCCTCAGCCTCCCGAGTAGCTTGGGACTACAGGCGCCTGCACCTCGCCTGGCTAGTTTTTTGTTTTTTTCTTTAGTAGATACGGTTGTTTCTACTGTTTAAGGCGAGGATGTTATCGCTCTGGACTCGTGATTCGCGTGCGTCGTCCTTGTTGGCTCCAAAGTGCTGGGTTATGTACAGCTTGGAGCCACCGCGCCCGGCCGAATACCTGTGTGTTTTTTTATGTTTATTATTATTATAGGGGTTATGTTCGTATTGTGTAGGTATGTGTGCACATAACAAAGAATATCTTATTTTTTGAAGTTCGATTTTAGGGTTAACAGAAAAATTGAGTATAAGCAAGTACAGACGATCCGTACACTATCACCTTCCTATCACTCACAAGAACAAACTTAATAACAGATACGTAGCTG